GGTCTTGCCTCTTGCGGTTGTTGTCGACTTTGCATTTCGTGATGTTGTCTTCGTTGTTGCCGACGCTGTTTCGGTCTCAGTCGCAAGAAGTTCTTTGAGCAACACGGAGGTTGCTGATGTGCATGTCGCGGTTGATGTCGCCGCCGCCTTGACGGCTTCTACTTTGCTTTGTAGGGAAGTCATCGAATCGTATACGTTATGGTCCTAAGCATGTCGTCATGAAATCTCGAGCTTCATTCGTAAAGTACGACCAGGGGTAGGCCAAAAGAGCGAGGTGCTGTTGTTCGAGAAGCAATTTGGATGTGTGACTTCATGGCAAATCCACAAAGGGTGCACTGCAGTTGTCATGTCAGTGTGGCAGATCTCGCTAAACAATGCCCCGGGGCGTTGTCCGGGGCAACCGCCAACCGGTTTGGTCCGTGCAGAGGAAGCTGCTAGTGCACGGACCATTTGGCCTTCAACTGCAGGTCCGGAACTTTTTTTACTTCCAACTTCCAAGACAAGACGGAAGCACACTGCGGGCATCGATCTTTCCTTTAACTCATCTTTCTGATTGCTCCTCCGCCGACATGTCTCGAATTGCCACACAACCGCTGATTGCCGCGGCTCCATGCCTACGCAGCGCATCCATTGCGCATGCCGCCCCTCGAGCCGTCTACTTCCATGCGCGGCACTCGAGCTCCCTGCCGACGGTAGCGCAGTCCGACTTCTGGAAGGGCCTGATCCCGAAACCATTCCGTCGCGAACCGCAGCTCCCCGGAGACCCGTCGATCAAGCGGGTCAAGTCGAAGAAGAAGAAGGAATGGAACCCTGCAACCTTCTACATTGTCATCTTTCTCTTGATCGGTTCCATGTCGATTAATATGCTGTCGAGCAAGCAGTCGTTCGAAGCTTTCTCACGCCAAGCTGACGTCCGCATCGGAGTCTTGAAAGAGGTCGTGGAAAAGATACAACGCGGCGAGAAAGTTGACGTGGAAGAGGCACTTGGCACGGGCGACCCTCAGAAGGAGTTGGAGTGGGAAGAGAGTATGTGAAATGTCACGGAGATTATTACACGAATGCTGACGAACTCGACCAGTGCTGAGAGAGATTGAGCGAGAAGACGTGTCACGACAGAAGAAGCAGGAAAAGTCACGGCAGACGGAGAGCGTGAAGAGCAAGCCCGAAAAGGAAGCCAGATCGCATTCGACAGGGGTCTCTGAGGCTGCGAAGCCACCGGCACGAGGCATGTCGAGCTTCTTCTAGATTCATAACGGAGACGTTTTTTATTGTACATCTTGCGGCTTATGAAAGCATGTCTTTGAAGACACCATGATTCTCCCTGAAGGCTGCTACGCCTCCCGCGGGAGCGGAGGCACCGCTCGCCGAGAGCTTCTGAAGCTGGTCAAGCAGTGCCGGAAGGACGGCGTCGGTGGATACTTCGGTCCGGACTCCAAGTGCCCCTGTCGGATCCGGGTCCGGGACCGCGGCGATGTGCTCCTCTCCTCGGACGCCTCCCGTGTTGACGATTGCAATGGGCATGCCGCGATCAAGAGCCCGCTTGGCCAGCCGCCAAGCTGAATACGTGGCTAGCGAAGTACCGAGGATCAACAGCTTGCCAGCCCCGTCGATGGCCTCCTCCGCCGCCGTCTTGACCTCATGGGGGATGCTTTCGCCAAACATGACGACCGCAGGCTTGAGGATGCCCGCAGAGCTGGAGGAGTGCCAGGCGCCGTCATGATCGACCTCGACGACGTGCCTAGCACCCTCGGGGGTGGAGGGTGGGTGCGCCAGGCAATGCGGACATGCAGGATATCGGAAGGTGGTGTAAGGAGCGCCGGGCAGGTCGACGTCTCCGTCAGGATTGGTCCGAATGCCCTTGGCCCTGCGTTCCGCGGGATTCTCTGTATCGAGAGCCCCGGAAGCCAAGGCTTCGGCGAGGAAGGTCGCCCAAGCCGGGTTGAGCCTCGCTAGCTCATCCTGGAAGGTGTCCCTGGGGTATTCGTTCCTGCAAGTAACACAGACAGTGGACCGCAGATAACCGTGTAACTCTAAAGTTGGAATGTCAGGATGAGCTTTTGAGTGGAACGAGTCGACGTTCTGAGTGACGACACTGCGAATAAGACCGAGCTGGCCAAGATCACGGATGGCATAGTGGCCCTGATTCGGGGACGCCTTGTGGAGTGACGTCCATCCCAAGAAACTCCTTGCCCAGTACCTCTTGCGTGCTTCGTGATTTGAGAGAAACTCGTGGTAGTAGATGGGACGGTAAGTCTTGTTCACGCGGTAGGTGCCATTGACCCCTCTGTAGTCGGCGAGGCCGCTGGAGACGGAGAGGCCCGCCCCAGTCAAGACTACGGTCGACCTCGGCAGCCCCTGTGGCGGAGGAGCTGTGAAGAAGTTCTGGAGGGCCGCGACAGCGCCAGGGATGGAGTTTGCGTTACTTGGACGGACTGTGGGAGGAGCCAAGAGTTCCGTGTAGGGAATGCGCATAAGAGGTTTGCGCATCGGGGCGAGGCTTTGTGGTGGGGTGTTGCGTAAGGCTGCCGGAATGTGGGAGGGAAATGGATCGTGAGGTGGGATGGCGCCGGGCGACGTGGAGGCTGAGGCTGTGAGAGGAAGGAGAAGACCAGAAAGGGGTTGAATTAAAGGAAGAGAGGGTTGTGATGTGGACGTGGTATGCCCGGGGGTGGGTTTAAGAATAGCAGCAAACAAGGGACGGGAGGAGAATTTCGAGGGCGGGTGTCAGACGCGTGTATTGGTAAACGGAAGCGTTGCGACGGGCTCATCTCATGTTGAGTCCAAGGGGCGATCTCATCTCTATCGTCACCTTGTCGATTCGTCATGATTCGGGGGTCCCAGCCTCAAGGGGGCCCGCTGTCACCCCATACGATGACAAAGCTGGTGTGGCTTGCCCGAGGTATGGCAGTGAAGACACCACCTGCAGTGTTGTGAAGGTGATTAGACACTGAACAGTGGTAGAGGCCTTGGCACGGACCATGCGAGGCGCCCTGCGGCAAACCAGAGAGATTCCGTTGCAATGGAGAGGCGAGAGGGTATTCATTGGCAACTTGGCACTGGTCACATTCGCAATTGGCAACTCAGAGCCAGGACAGCAACTATCTGCGACTCAAGGGGCTGTCTGTCACCTGCCTGTCCGATAGCATGCGTCCGGTTGTCACCTCATGTGCCTCTACAGTCGTCCGGCATCCTCTTTCGGCAGGCCGGAGGTGATGGCTTGAGGCTCCTGGAGGGTTGGTTCCGTCCGTCTGTTTGAGTTGCGTACGCTTCATCCGCTTTAACCAGAGTTGGTTCGCGCAGCTGGAGATCCCAATGGCTAATTGCAGCATCCCGCCGGGCTCCGTTGTCAATAGTGGGCGCTGCTGACGCATGTCGTCGCCAGTTGCCCAGGGCCACTGCAGGAGGTGCAAGGCCAGTTGTAAAAGAAAATTCAAGCTTCTCCCCCCCCCCATCCCAAACCCGGGTGCCGGGGCCAAAACGCAGGTTTTGGTTTGGAAGAAATTTGCACACACTTCCATTGGTGAGCTTGAGTCGTTACGTTGCCCAGTATTTTACTTTACTTTGTCTGCGGCGGTAACGTGTACAACTGTAATTAGGGACAGGCATAGTAGCAAATCAATCAACCCAATTCAACTGGCCAGGGCCATGCCATGCTGCATCCACTCTATCATCGCCTTTCCCGTCTTGTGGTCTACCTACGGATACCGCTGCGATGTACACTACCTACCTTACAGAGTACGGTTACAGACCCCATCCTCGTCAGGAACGGATGGCATCTTTAGCTTAGGTTAGCATCAGCGACCCATCCCATAGGTCCCATCCCATCCCATCCTGTCCCATCCTGTCCCGCCGAGCCGGCCCTGCCCTGCCTCTTTCTGCCCACTGCCCTGTGTTATCGCCCTGCAACCCGCACTGCATCCACTTCTGCGCACTGCGACCGCGGCGAGGCCAAGCGACTGCAGCCCGAGAGAGTCGGAGACATCAGATCGAACACCCGCCGTGGCCGGACTGACCTGAACTGATCCAACCTTGACCTGCCCTGACTGCACCGTACCTCATGCATGACTGTCAGTCAACGGCAGCAACATCAACGACAACTCTCAACTTCAAACCCTGCCGTGTCACTTTCCTCCCACATCCTCTCGCTCTCTTCCGCTGCACAGCCTAGCCACAAGTCCACCACCGAGGCCCAAGGCCCTTCCCGCAACCTTCTCCCTCGCCTTCGGCTTCCCTTCCCCCCTCCCCTCCGTACCTTGCCTTACGTTACCGACCTTACCCAGTACCTCTGGCTCCGTACACCACCATCCAAATCACTCCCACCACTCCCGTCGCCGCGCTCCCCATCTATTCGATCCGTACTGGGCTGCTTGTCATGTACGCGTCCCTTGCCTGCTGCCGCCGCTGCTTGCAATTAGCCATCCCATCATTCGTCCCCTCCCCCCATCCTATTCCTGGTACTCCCGGCCTCTAGCCTCGTGCCTTGTCACTTGTGCCTCGCGTACCCTTACCGTACCTTGCCGTACCGTACCTACATGTCTCCCCCGTCCAAGCGCCCGCCGACGGGTCTGCTCCGCCGCCTATCCGGGCTGAGTGTGAGTGTGACGTCCCGGTCTGGAGCTTCCACTGGCACCGGCACAGGGACGCGCAAAAGAAGCATGGGGATGGGCATTGGGATGGGAATGCGATCTGGGCCTGGACGCGCCGCAGGGCCGTCTGCCTCCGCCGTACACGCCCTCCTCCGTTCATCTTGCCTCGATTTTGTTACCGGTACCCCCTTTAGGCCACATCTCCCAAACCTGCGCCGCGTGCGCGTCTATCAAACATCCAGCCCGGCCGCCTCTCCCTGCGATCCTTACTTAACCCCCAACGCCGCCCGCCTCCGCTTGCGCTCAAGGTTACCGGCCACTACCAGTACTTCTTTCCCCATCCTCACACAGACCGCAATCATGTCTTCTACAACTACAACCACCACAACCACCACCGCACCTCCCACCACCGTCATGCAGACTCAGACACGACACAGCTCCGGCGGCCACTCCCACGGCCATGGCCACCACCACCACCATCACGGTCACGACAACGTCTACCTGACCTCAAGCAACAAGAACGATGCCGGCGTCCGCATCACCCGCATCGGCCTCTACTCCAACCTCGGCATGGCCATTGCAAAGGGCGCCGGCGGCTACGCCTTCGGCTCCCAGGCAATGGTCGCTGACGCCTGGCACAGTCTGACGGATCTGGCCTCTGACATCCTGACGCTGGCCACCGTCTCCTGGAGTCTGAAGCCCCCTACCGCTGGCTTCCCCACTGGTTTCGGCAAGATTGAGAGCTTGGGTTCTTTGGGAGTCTCCAGCATGCTTCTGGGCGGCGGCCTGTTCATGTGTTGGAGCAGCTTGCTGACTCTCCACGCCCACCTCTTCCTGGATCCCGCGGCGGCCGCTGAGGCCATCGCCCACGCTCACTCCCACGGCCACAGCCATCACCACGACCACTCTGGCCCCAGCCTGCACGCGGCCTGGTTGGCTCTCGGCACCGTGGCGATCAAGGAGTGGCTGTACCAAGCAAGTAGGTGTCACCCAAACCCCTGTTGAGTGAGCAAACATAAGCAACGTGTCTAACAAAGATTTTGCAGCAATGAAAGTCGCCGTCGAACGAAAGTCTTCTGTCCTCGCCTCCAACGCCGTTCACCACCGTGTCGACAGCTGGACTGGAATTGTTACACTGCTTGCTATTCTCGGCGCAAACTTTTTCAGGGATGCTGCCTGGTTGGACCCTGTCGGTGGCCTCATGATTTCTCTCCTGGTCATCAAGGCTGGCGCGGAGAACACCCTGTCCGCTCTGTACGAACTGGCCGACCGTAGCATCGATGACGAGGTCAAGGAATCGGTCGAGAAGCACACACTTAGGACCCTGTCTGATGTCACCGAGGGCCACGAGGTCGAAGTCAGGGACATCTCTGGTGTCAAGTCCGGCCAGAACTACCTCGTCGACATTGAATTGGCTGTTCCGGGAGCCTGGACGGTCGAGCACGTCCGCGCCGTCGAGGAGACCGTCCGCACCCAAGTCGGCTCTAGCGTGCGTGGAGTTCGGAGGATCAAGGTCCGCTACGTCCCGAAGGAGGCTGAGATCGCGCCCAAGTTTGACGAGTTCATCCCCGGCGAGGCCAACATGGACAAGCCCGAGGAGGAGACCACCGACGCCAACGGCAACGGTCACCACAAGCACCACTAAGCGGCCGACGTCCCTAGTTGTACATTCGGGAGGATGAGCTTGCCATTCACGATGAGATACCCTTGGTTCCCTTACACTATCCGGAAGCGTGGAACAGCCACCGTCTTGTTTTTTACCTTTTTTTTGTGGCATATAGGGGATGTTTTAGAAGAGCATACTTGGAGGGTCCTCTCAAGTATGCGATGCATCTGGGCGGCGTTCAGGGGGGTTAGCAAAAGGCCAGCATTTAGGCCCGTCATCCGGAGAGCTTGTGTCTCTCCTTGCCAATAACAGAATCAATTGTCTTAGCCTGTCACCTTGCATACAGCCGTGTCTCGCGCTGTGCCGCCGGCACACACTCTGCCCATTCCCGCAACCTAGTTACTCGCCTCATCCCGACCTATCAATCCCTGGGCCGGCATGCGGGGACTGCGATCTAAAATCTAAGGTGCGCATAGCACGCGGGTTAAGCTGCCCCCGACCCCCGAGCCGGGGGACAAGGCTGTCTTGGCTTTTTGCCAAGCCATCGAGATGTCATTGGTGCGCATATGCGTCGCAAAGAGGCACAAAATCTACGATTGGCCAATCCGGTTTTAGCCTGAATTGCCACAAGGCTGATACCGTGCAACCTGTCCCGAGCTGCCCCTCCATGTCCACTCCCCACGTAGAGTGATGTAAGGTGGTGGGCAGCGGTCAACTTTCCCAAATATCCGGGTTGCATCGTGTTTTTCCCCCTTTCTGTCTCTCAGAGCTTTTATGTGATTCGAATTGCATCATATCAGACAGATTTTGATACCCAAAAGAGTGTACGATCTTCTCGTCTGCCGTCGTCATGAGTGCCGGTCCCCTGTATCTCGGGTTCGATCTATCAACCCAACAGCTCAAGGGTCAGTTCATGCATCAGTTGCCATCTCACTCCACCATCATCATTCGACTCACGATGCTGATGACTGAACAGCCATCGTCGTCCAGTCTGACCTCACAGTCGTCTCCGAGGCCAAGGTCGACTTCGATGCTGACTTCGGCAAGCAGTATGGCCTGAAGAAGGGTGTTCTAACGAACGAGGCCGAGGGCGAGGTCTACGCCCCCGTCGCCATGTTCCTCGAGGCAATCGACCTTGTCCTTGATCGCCTCAGCAAGAAGACTCCCATGGACCGCATCAAGGGCATCAGCGGTTCGTGCCAGCAGCACGGCAGCACCTACTGGAGCCACGATGCCGAAAAGCTCCTCGGCGGGCTCAAGGCCGACAAGCCTCTTGTTGAGCAGCTCAAGGCAGCCTTCTCGCACCCGTACGCCCCCAACTGGCAAGACCACAGCACGCAATCGCAGTGTGACAAGTTCGACGCCAAGTTCGAGACGGCTCAGAGACTCGCCGAGGTCACAGGCAGCGCTGCTCACCACGTACGCCCCTCTCTCACCGCATTTACGTGATAGACACTGACCAACCGCAGCGCTTCACCGGCACCCAAATCATGCGTCTTCGCCAGAAGCTCCCCGAGATGTACGCCGCCACCTCCCGCGTCTCCCTCGTGTCCTCGTTCCTCGCCTCCGTCCTCCTCGGCACCGTCGCGCCAATCGACATCTCCGACGTCTGCGGCATGAACCTCTGGGACATCTCCGCCGGCAGCTGGAGCGAGCCCCTCCTCGAGCTCACCGCCGGCGGCAAGTCCGGCGTCGCGGACCTGCGCTCCAAGCTCGGCGAGCCGCGCCACGACGGCGGCGGCTCCATGGGCTCCATCGCGGCTTACTTTGTCCAGCGCTACGGCTTCAGCAAGGACTGCCAGGTCGCCCCCTTCACCGGCGACAACCCGGCCACCATCCTCGCCCTGCCACTGCGCCCGATGGACGCCATCGTCTCCCTCGGCACCTCGTCCACCTTCCTCATGGTCACCCCCGTGTACAAGCCCGACGCCGCGTACCACTTCTTCAACCACCCCTGCACGCCGGGCCAGTACATGTTCATGCTGTGCTACAAGAACGGCGGCCTCGCGCGCGAGAGCGTGCGCGACGCGCTGCCCAAGGCCGACGGCGGCGACCCCTGGGCCAGCTTCAACAAGGCCGTCCTCGACACCCCGCCGCTCGACGTCCGCTCGGCCGACGACAAGGCGAAGCTGGGGCTCTACTTTGACCTCCCCGAGATCGTGCCCAACATCAAGGCCGGCACGTGGCGGTACACGGCCAACCAGGACGGCAGCTCGCTCGAGGAGGCCGCCGCGCAGTGGAGCAAGGAGACGGACCCGCGCATCATCGTCGAGAGCCAGGCGCTGTCGATGCGGCTGCGCAGCCAGAACCTCGTGCACAGCCCCAAGGACGGCCTCCCCGCACAGCCGCGCCGGATCTACCTGGTCGGCGGCGGCTCGCTCAACCCGGCGATCGCGAGGGTGATGGGCGACGTGCTCGGCGGGTGCGACGGGGTGTACAAGCTCGACGTCGGGGGCAACGCGTGCGCGCTCGGCGGGGCGTACAAGGCGGTGTGGGCGCTGGAGAGGAGCGAAGGGGAGAGCTTCGACGAGCTCATCGGCAAGCGGTGGAAGGAGGAGGGTGCGATCCAGAAGGTCGACGACGGGTTCAAGGACGGGGTATTCCAGAAGTACCAGCCGATCGTGGGCGCGTTCGAGGAGATGGAGCAACGGATTCTGAAGGTTGCGCACAACTAGAAAAGATTTGATGGAATGATAGAATTATGATAGAATTTTAGACGGTGAGGACGAATGAATGCAAGCGATTTGATCATTTTGGGGCGCGACACACACATGCGAAGACGTCACGAGAGAGTGGACAAGTAATAGCTAATCGTCTTGTATTGAGCAATGGTCCTGAAGCCAAATCAAATCCACCGGATTACCTCAACCAAACTACCCTAAGCGGCCAAAAGACCAAGAAGTTTCCTGTCGTGGTTTCCCAAATGAATCCCTTTTGACCAAGTCCTTCGCGCATCATACAAAGCCCGATTTTTTTCCTTTCTCTCGTAAACCTGGGTTCCCAAATCCTTTTGTTGGGGGTATCAATTCATCATCATTGCGTTAATCATTCCTTTCCGTAACGTTCGTGCTGTTGTGCAGTGCAACAGTGTGAAAGTAAAAGTGCTTTTTGTGTTCTTTTGTCATCGACATTGCGGGCAGGCAGGGCAGCGTGTGACTGGATCCCGTGAAGGGTTCCGGTCAGGTGTGCAGTGCGTTACGAGAATGAGAGAGTGATGACAGGAAAAAGAAAAAGCAGGAGAAGTGAAAGATTAGAAGAGGACCAGCAGGGCCAGGACGAACAGGACCAGGCAAGTCTGGCAGTTCATCTGGGTGGGGTCGAGGGCGGCACCAAAGACCACACCAGGCTCGGCGCGCTTCTCAGCAGAGGAGAAGACGGGAGCGGTGGTGGTGGCAGGCTGGCTGGGCTTGACAGGGCCAGCGGGGTGAGTGGCAATGGTGCCGTTGGCGCCCGTGGGGTAGAGGGGCAGCTCAACACCCTCGGTCTTGGTGTACTTCACAGGGGAGCCGGTGATGTAGACCGTGGTGTTGATGGTGACCTCGGGGGTGGGGGTGGTCAGGGTGGTGGTGTTGGACACGCCCGTGATGGTGGAGAGGGCGGTCGTGACCACGTCCGTCTTGCTCAGGGTGAGGGTGGCGGTAGCGTTCTTGGGGACGCCGACCGTGGAGGTCTGGACCTCGCCTGAGACGGTGACGGTGAGGGTGCTGATGTCGACCTCGGTGACGACCTCGACGGAAGAGGAGGTGGTGTTGAGGAAGGGGGACAGCGTGGGGTAGACGGTGACAGTCTGAGTGGCGCGATCGGTGAGCACGATCGTGGTCTCAATTGACTTGGTCTTCTTGACAGTGGAGGTGGAGCTGAAGGGGGAGACAGTGAGAGAGGAGGTCACGGTGGTGGTAGCATCAGAGGAAGCAGATGCGCGGTGAGTCTCGGTGACAATGTCAGTGACTGTCGTGGTCGCATCACCGGTGCCCTGGCTGACCTCGGAAGAGGCGGCGTGGGGAAGGGCAGAGGAGACGGTGGTGCTGTAAGCGACAGTGGTGCCGTCGACAACGGTCTCGAAGATTGTCTTGGTGTGTCTCACGACCACCGTGGAGGTCTTCTTGGCCTCGGAGGTGACGGACGTAGTGGTCTCGCTGACAGCGCCGGAAGACGAGCTCGTGCTGGTAGGCTTGAAGCTGTCGATGGTGATGGTGTAGGTAATCAGAACGGTGTCGGTGGCCTTGGAGGCGGAGACAGATGAAGGAGAGGGGGAGACGGTCTTGGTCTTTGTCTTGGTCAGGGAAGAAGTGGAAGAGGCTGAGGAGCTGGGCTCAGCGGTCTTGGTGACGGTGACGTAGACGGTGTGGTCGTCCATGGAGCACTGGGCCTCCTGAGTCGAGGTGGCGAGGGGCTCTGAGGTGATGTAGACGGTCGAGACGAGAATGGAAGTGGGGGTGTAAGTCGTGGTGACCACAGCTTCCTCAATCGTGGAAGTAACCTGCTTCACGGAAGTCACAACGGCGGTCTGTGTCTTGGTAACCAGGACGGAAGAGACCTCGATGGAAGGCTTCTGGACCTGAGAGCTGGACATGCTGGACTTCTCAGAGGTGGACTGAGAGGTGGACTCAGAGACGCTCATGGAGGAAGCAGAGGCAGTCTGGATCGCGGTCTTGGTCACAGAGGTGGTGATGAACTCGGTGATGACATCGACGGACCTAGGAAAAACGTCAGAAGACTGCGAATGATGAGAGTGTAGGGTTGAGCTTACTGGGTAGCAGACTGGGTGCCGGTGACGCCCAAGGCAGGAGACACGGTGGTACCCTGAGACTGCTCGTGAGTGCGAGTCTGGGTGCGGGTCTTCTTGATGGTAGTCGTGGACTCCACGGAAGTCAGGTTGGCGGGCTGAGTGGTGGTCTCGGTCTCCTCAGGGCAGTGAACAGCAGTTGAGGTCAAGACATCAATTGAGATACCGGTAGAGACAGCGGTGAGGGTGTGGTTGAGCGAGTAGTGGGTGCCGTTGTAGGATCCAGCGTGGAAGTTCATGACAGGGAAGCGGGGAACGATGGCAGCAGCCTGAGCCTGGTCGGCAGCGTTCTTGCTCTGGATCTCGTTGCGGATGGCTGGCTCAAGTGTTAGAAAAGCTGGGCAGAACTTGAGACGAGCTGAGTATGAACTTACCGACGTAGGAAATGCCAATAACGGCCGAGAGAACGCAGAGACCCATCAGGAAGACATAGGCCAGGAAGCAGAAACTCGACTTGCGGTAAGCAGCCCAGTCATCCTTCCACTTGGTGGAGCGAGTGATGGAGCCATCGTTGATCTCCAAGAGCTCGTCCTCAGCGTAGTAGCCGCTATGACGATGCTTGCCGTCTGGTCAGGTGGTCAGAATGCGAAAAAAACAGATTGTGAGATTTGTTTTTGAAAGAACTTACTATCCATCATCTTGAAGATGCTGCTGACGATCGGTGTTTGTAAGGAATGACTTTCTGTTTTTTGTTAGTTGATTGTTAATGGATCGAAGGAAGTGAGTTTGTGAAGTGAGAGGCTGAGATCGGGGGAGAGCGATAGGGAGAAGGAGAGAAAAAAAAGGCGCGAAGCGAAAAAGAACGCGGCAAAGTTGGTGATACTCACAGCTTCTGTTCTAGAGAACGTGGGAGTCTGGATGAGAGACGGCGTGGTGAGTGGGTGGTGAAGGGAAAAGAAAGTTGAGATGGCGATAGAAGAGTGAAGGTGTTGGTGAGAGAAAGAAGGTGAGAAGGAGGCAGTGGGGAAAGGCGCGTCAATAAAGGTGAGAAGAAAAAAACAAACTTGTGCGCTCGCTTCTGGGAAACAGATCGAAGAAGGAAGGCGCAAGGAGGGAGTGAGTTTTTTCGTCTCTTGCTCAGACTGGTCTGCCACAAAGAACGGGTGGTATGAGGAGAGAGTGGGCAGAGATGAGGTGCTCAATTGAGCTGTTGAGTGGAAAGGGAGAAAACAAGGCAAATGTGCTTCTGGGAGCTGGGAGGGTAATTTGAATATGGAGAAAATCGTGAGGATGAGGAGACCTCAGAAGAAGGGGTTTTCGAGGCTGAGAAGCTGCCCCAAGGGTTTTGATGGTAAAGTGAGAAGCAGGAGAGGTCGTGAGATTGAAGATCTTATCGACATACCTTGAGACTGAATTGTAGAATGAGTGTTGGAAAAGAGACGAACGAAAGAGGCGCAAAGTGCTGGTGAAAGTTAGTTAGATGGGATGAGGAGGAAGAGGATTTTGTGATCTCTCGGGAAGATATTTACGTACCTTTGGTGGCGAACGAAAGTTGTCGAGTGTTTGCGCGAAGCTGTCGTGGTGGGTGGAAGAAGAAGAGAAGGGTTTGTTTCTGTGGGATCGCGACAGGAGAAGGAAAAGGTGAAAGGCGGGTGGGCGGTCGAGGGAGGGTAGCGAGCCACGTGGGAGAGCAGAACGGCACAAGGAGCGGCAGGACAAGAAGAGGGCGCCTCACACCAAAGAAGTCTTGATCGAATACTCATCCAGCCAGCTCGCCTGTCTACTTATTCACCTAGGTCGGTCTACGATACCAGGAGGGCAGGGTGCCCAGCAACCAGGGTGCAACGGGCTCACTGGACCTTCAGCGACCTACTCCCCAACCCATCGCACATGACTGATTGTGCATATCAGACCTGTAGCTTACCTCGAGATATATGTTTACTTGCAGGGGAAAAAGATAGACCTAAGAGGTAGCTTGCGGTCTCCTCCAGCTCAGCTCTGAACTTTCTGACGGTCAACTTCACGTTCCCAGTCGCTTTCAGAGATGATGGTAATTATTTTTCAACGAAATTTCAACTGCAAGAATGAAACTTGATTCAAGAATCAGGTCACTTGAAGTGAAAGGTCCCAAGTAAACAGCTTGTGGTGTTGTTGCCATTGTCCCCATCAACGGGACTGAAGTTCTTGGGTGACCGCCAAAAAGGGTTCACTGTGTACTTTCTCAAAATGTCGGCCAGAAGGTCGTATTGTAAGTGAAAATCAATTCCATCTCGATCTTTGCGTCGACCAGATCGATGAGACGGGACCAGCTGAAGGAAGAAGGGCTGCTTCCTCCATAGAAAATTCTCCTTGTGACGGAAAATAATCCATGAGGCGTCACACTCCTACTAATTGACAGTCACTCGACGCCAGCACCTTTCAGCGCGGCAGTCGCAGGTCTTGCCGATCCCCCAGTCCTGGGAAACGCAATCGAAAGCAACTTTATGCCTGCAAATATCTAAGATTAGTACCCAAATATCAGACTCTACATGGTTTCTTTGGCTCTATCCTCGAAGATCGAATTGAATCGTTGGACCACTTGATTGAAATGGTCGCGTGCTCAACCTTCTCGAGCGGCGACTCGGTTCGAAACCCGGGGAAGAGGACTCAATGGCATTTATCTGTACCATTCACTTGAATTTCCCACGAAAATTCCTCCTATCCACAAGGAAGATTGCACTTGCGCTGCCCCAAACGCATGAGGTGAGGTTGAAGACAGCAGAGGCTCGAGTGCCCGACAAGTGGAGACAGGAGGTTGAGCGTGGAACGGTGAGCTCCGTCGTGGTCACACTCACAGCTGCGACTTGTGCTGCACCAGCCACGCCGGGCCCGAGGCATGACAGGGGAAGCCCCACTTTCACGTCGCGCCCGGGCCAGGCTACACGCCACGACAAGGGAAGGTGTAGGTGCAGCTCCTGCTTGCTCCTGCTGAGGCAGGTCCCACTCCCGTTGAGTCGACCTTGAGGTACCTTACCTCCCCAGCTCCTGCTACTCAGCTCAGGTAAGCACGCGAAACCCGATGAACTGCAGGCGCAGGCGCGTAACACGACTCGACCCTTCCATCCATTTTCGTCGCAACACTCAAGGCCCCTCGAGCTTCCACCCACCTCTCGTCGCCACCACGCAATTGGTCTGTAATTCGGCGCGCTTGTTTTGGTCGCTTCGCTCTTCATCGATACCTGCGACGCGCAACTTTTTCATCCATGACTTAACCTGTGCGCGCATCATCGACTCTTGACACGTTCCGTCGACCGAACACACTCTCGATAATCGTCTTCCCCGCTTCCGCACACCACGTCACCCGCCGAGCGCCCTCTGCATACCTCACGAGATGGCGCCTCGTCGCGGTCGCGATGAACCTCAGGAAGAGGTCGAGGAGGAGCAGGGCGAAGAGCTCGTCAGCCTTCAATTCGACGAGGAATTGACGTGGAGACCCGGAAAGCCCATACCCACCACAGAGCTGCTCAACCGCTTGCAGGCTCTCTACGAGGAGCTGAGCAGCATCGACCAGGATGCTGTCAACGTCGAATCTCTTAATGATGTCTCCCACGCCTTGGGCCAACGCAATTTGTTGGCGCATAAAGACAAGGGTGTGAAGGCGTATACTGCAGTGTGCATCTCGGAAATCCTCCGCCTGTGCGCCCCCGACGCGCCCTTCACCGCGGACCAGACCAAGGTCAGTCCCCTAGAATGTTGTGTATTCTCTGCCCAGCCTAACAATTGATCTTGTAGATGTTCTTTAATCTCCTCGTATCGCATATCTTTCCGTCATTGAGCGACCAGGCTCATCCCTACCACAGCCAGCACAAGGCCGTGCTGACTGCACTTACCGAAGTAAAGAGTATTCTTCTCATCAACGATGTCGATGGCGCCGATGAGATGCTTCTCCGTCTTTTTTCTGTATTTTTCGATGGTGTCTCGGGAGGTTCCAGCTCGGAAGAGGGCGTTTCCAAGGAAGTTGGTAATACCATGACGGAAATGCTCATCGCCCTTGTCGACGAGGCCTCCGGCATGAACCCCAAGGTTATCGAGGTCATCATGGCCCAATTCCTTAGAGCGGCACCTCCGGGTGGATTCCAGAGCCGTACGGAACGCGGCGAGCAGAACGGTAACCAGTCCACTTTGTTGCCCAAAGACGAACCACCAGCCTACATCATGGCGAAGGAAATCTGCAACGTCTGCACCGAGAAAATGGTGCACTACGTCAGCCAGTATTTCAGCGATGTCATCCTTGATGCCTCGCGTTTCGCAGCAAAGACAGTAGGAAAGCATGATGAAGAGGACGATGAGGATGCGCCCAGAGGCCCGACGGATTCGGAACTTAAGGAGCTCAGAAAAGCTCACTTTCTGATTAGGGAACTTTGGCGCGCCTGCCCGTCTGTTTTGCAAAACGTGATTCCTCAGGTTGAGGCAGAGCTCTCGGCCGACAACGTCGATTTGCGACAACTGGCTACGGAAACTCTCGGAGACATGATCTCTGGACTTGGCGCTGCTGGCCCACCACCTCTCCCCGTTTTGGATCCCGCTCAGTACCCCCCGCTGCGCCTGGCCGATGAGGCGCCCAGCCAAGTTTCCGATAGCGTTCTCACAACGCCACTTTCGCCTCAGTCGTTTGCCCAAACTCACGCGACCGCATACCACCATTTCTTGGGCAGAAGAAACGACAAGACGGCGGCAATTCGAGCTGCTTGGACCAACGCGGTTGGCTACATTTTGGCCACTTCGGCTGGCGGCATTGGTCTCAGCCGCGAGGAGCAATCCGAGTTGGTAAAGTATCTCGGTGAGAAGCTCAATGATGGCGATGAAAAGGTTCGACTGGCTGCTGTCAAGGTTATGGAGCTCTTCAGCTTCCGCGACTTCGTTACCAAGCTTGGAGCACCTGGAGGCGTGGACAAGGATGGATCCGTCCTCAACAGTCTCGCAGACCGCTGCCGTGACAAGCGTAATGCTGTTCGAGTTGACGCAATGACTCTGTTGGCGAAGCTCTGGGCTGTCGGCTCTGGCGAGTTGGCTGCCGGACAAGAGGCTGTTGTTGCAACCCTCTCTGGAATCCCTACACGCATCTTCAATGCATTTTACGCCAACGATCTCGAGCTCAATATCTTGCTTGATCGTGTCCTTTTTGAATGTCTGATCCCGTTGAACTACCCGCCCATCAAGACTCCGAAGAGCACCAGAGCGTCATCAAGCCAGAGCCAACAGAACGCGGGCGTTGCCGAACAGGATCGGATCCGCGCAGAGAGGCTTCTGCTTCTGACGCAGTCGCTAGACTCGGCCGCCAAGAAGGCCTTCTTTGCCATGCAGGGTCGACAGCCTCAGTTTGCACAGGTCCTGGAGACTTTCGTCAAGCAGTGCGAGCTTTACAATGGCGGTGTGATGGATGACAACCGCCCGAAGAAGACGGCGAACCTGGAGCGTACAGTGGGGTACATCACACAATTCTTCCCGGATTCGTTCAAGGTGAAGACGGACCTTCAAAAGTTCGCCAATCAGAACGACCGACGCGCATACCAGCTTGTCAAGTACTCAGTCAGCTCCGAGAGCGATTACAAAACGGTGCGACAAGCCATCAAGGAGCTCGTGAAGCGTATGAACGCTAGCCAGTCGGCGGCCGTTTTGGATACGCTGCTTCCGCTCCTCTACCGATCGGCTTGCCTGC